CGCAAGATAGTTTAGATTGAACAGAAGTAGAAGCATCGCGATTCACTCACCTTTAGGTTCCTGAGAATAGCCAAGAAAGCGACTGTATCAATAACGACAACTATAGCGCACAGTACTGCACAATATGCGAAGGCAATGTAAAATGAGACAAAGCGGCTGCATGAGGTAGAGGAGTATGTCCAAAGGAACGATTTGGCGTCATATAGGAAATCACACCCCTCTGAAAAATGAGATTGTAAGGCATTTCACGTAGCTACAAGAACTACCAAAACAAAATGAAGTACTACTAGAACTCAAAATGAAGACTGAGTTTCTATTTCCTATGGTGCATTTCAGTTTAACAACCCAATCACCTCCATACAGTTTACAGTAGTCTACAGCAACGCTAAATTTGCTCAATGAAGAGACTCATTTCATGAATAGGTGGAAGAATCCCGCAACTGCAAGTAGTTTTGAAGGATGGACTACTCCAACCTTTGAACCTACTCCGAGGGCTCGACGAAACCCAGTTCGACATGGTGGGGGCACCAAACGGTACTCAGCTAAGCCCGAGTAGGGCGACCTTGCAAGGATCTGTGAATTTCCGTGACCGAAGCGGCCATGTCGAACCATTAGGCAGATTCTCAGGTTTTTATGCGTCACCAAAGTAGAACCCATTATTTGATATGTAAAAAAAGGAGCTAGCGAAAGGCAGTGCCCCCTCTGAACCGAACAGCGCCGCTCGACAGTAAGTGTCGAAGCATGCGCTTGTCAAGCGAACACCACCCGCAAAATTTGTCTCACCCATCTGGGTGCGAGATGTATCTATGAACAGAGGTGTGACGCGCTGCGTCCTTTCTACGTGGGACCGTTTTGCCGTCCCGCGCGTCCTCTAATTCGTCCCCTGTTACCTTGCCCTTTGTTCATAGCCTCCCGCTTGCGGAGCAGTGTCCCCTTCTCTGAGAGCTCGTTTATTGTTGATGCTTCACTCGAGGCATCCTACAAGGTACACAAAAACGATAAAAGCTCCACCGCTGATCAGTCCCTTCTTGGGGGATGCATTCCAGTTACGCTCAGGGTCGTAGCGTCTCACGTGCTCTTACGGAAAGAAGTACATCAGTGTTCCGAACACCCCTGGTGCCAATTTACTGTCTTCAGAGGGTAGAAGGCCTCGTCGGCGCGAGCTTAGCGATTCACTCCGAATGACGCGGCATGGTAAGCGTGCCACTTACCACTCCACCTGCGCCTCTGTGATCAGCATCTACACACTGGTACTTTTCTTACTGTTTTCTGGATGTGTTTTTTTGATGGATTTCGCAGCGATGGAGACCAAATCGGTGAGAAACTTTGGTGTGACCGAGTCAAGTAAGTCGGGGTGAAGAAATAATCATCGAGTTTCATTCACGCATACTCTATTCTCCGGCAAAGGTCTGGGAGTTTCGATAAGGCTACTGCTAGAAAAGAACCAAACGCCCCCCCCCCCCCCCCCCCCCCCCCGTGTGTTTATACCAAAGAAGTAGATGGTGCCATGAGCGAAGCAGAGTATCCAGAACACGGCCAGTATTTGTTTGGTCCTTTGCGTTGAGAACATGGAACTAAACTACGAAAATCGTTGTACTACACTCTTCTGAGAAATGTAGTATCCAGAGATAGCACACCTGGCACTACATAAAGTTATTGGGTTTTGCTATAGAATGCGAGGTTTCGTTAAAATTGCAAGATCGGATAAGGTTTGCGATCTGAAAATGTTCCGCAAAAACTACGGTAAATATCGCAAAAAGGAAAGATAAAAATGTTCATATTTCATTCCCAACTGGAAGGCTTCGCCAATGAGCAGCCGAGCGCCAAACGGGTCGGTCCTTTTTCACGAGATTTTAGATGGACTAGGTTTACGGCCCCCGAGGCGCTGATGATGTGATGCTTGCTTGTGAAGATAAGAGCGCATTGGAACAGCAGGTGCAAGCTTGGGCCGAGCGTCTGGCGAAGTTTGGACTCAGGTTGAACGTCAACAAGACAGAGTACCTGACAACCGACCCAAATGAGCCGGGTTCCATTAAGATCGATGACACGGTGCTCAAAGCGCACGGAAACATCTAACAAGTATCTCGGCATCAGCATTGCGTTTCCGATGGCAGTCTCAACTCGGAGGGTGAGCGCACTGTGTATGTGAGTGCGCATGGTCTAATGTGGCGATCCATGTCTGGTATCCTTGCGATCAGAAGAATATGCACAGAGGTTTCTAAGTCAAAGATCTATTCGGTATGCTCATCCGAACTTGTCGCCGTTATATGGTACGAGACTAGTGCTGGGCCGGCGACAGAAGAAGTTTGAGTCGCTTGCGGTGTGATGGAGATGAAGATGTTGCGCTGGACGGCGGGCGTCACGCGATCGGACCGCATCTGTAATGATGTCGTGCGCAAGAAGTATGGTGTAGCCCCCATAGCGGAGAAAATGCGTGAAACGCGCCTTTGATGGTACGGGCACGTGCTTCGCGCTGAAGCTGACACCATTCCGTACAACTGCTCTCTCGAATCCTGGCGAGGTACCAGGACAGCGGCTAAAGGGGCGTCCCAAGCAGCGCTGGCTCGACATGTTGCATACCTACTTGAAAATGGCCGGCATTCAGATCAGGCATTCCAGCGGCGAGAGAAGCTGGCGTAGTTGTATCAAAAAGGAGCGGACGCCCGCGATCGAGCGGACAAAACGCTGAAGAGAAGTTAAGAAATAGTTAAGGAAATGTTTTCAGGGCCCCCGAAAACTCATGCTTTTGGACTTTGTATATGTAGTTCCGTTATAATAGACAACATGTAAAAAAATTGTATTGTTTGCCCAAGTGGTATCTTGACAACTGACGTACTTGTACATGAGGGGGGAACAGATAGCCATAAGTCGATTGAGAGCCATTTGCAAATGTCCATAGACAGAGCCAAACCAGAATATCACGGTGAGTTGACCTATTCTCTGTCCGAAATAAGTATGGGTTATCGTTTCAGGTAAACCACTGAAATGAGCCGAAGATTGTCCATATGTTGAGAGCAAGTGACGTACTTCGAAAGAAATGGAGAAATTCAGGTGTTAACGTTGTTAGAGGGGGCCATGTGAGGCAGTGGGGCAACACAGGTTGTCCACTATCTCCTAAGCCTGAGCTGAATCAAAGGAAGGGATCACTACCTTGGTCGCATAGGGAGCGGCAACCGAAGTCGCTAATCGTCATTCTCGAAGCGTGGCTCCCTCCAACTACGTAATCCGTAGAATTTACTGATATAACAGACTTAGCGTACTCACAGTATCGTTGCTGGTGCCGCCCAAAAGGTGTAAATCGCGAGTACACCAACATCAGCGACCAATGTGATGCACAAATGTAGCCAAACGCATTACGGAAGAAGGGTGTGCGATAGATTAGCACCACAGCCGCGACATTGAATGCAATCCCAACGACGCCAACCTGAAATACAGAATAGTTCAGATAACAACCTTTCCACCTTTCCTACTTTTCTAAGCTTGTGAAAGAAACGTCTTTTGAACACCGCTTCCCCAAGACACGCAAGGCGCTTTTTTAGTGTTCTTCCGCAGAGCGGCTTTTTTTGCCAATCTTGCGCGGAGTGCCTGCTGCAAATATCTTGCACACAATGGACCCGATTACATGTCCCACCCCAGATAACTCCACCCCTATTTGATGCGAGACAATTTACACTTACATTAAACACATTATGCGCTATATATAAATAGATGCTATACCAGTTTTCCACACCTTTCATCTGCTACACACATAGACCTTGGATACACTTTCACTAATAGTACACTTGACTCCGCCTCCGACGACTCCGCCCACTTATTAATGGATTTATCAAAAATTTCGACACTTTATAACTTTATTCTCCAACACTCGAGTTCAGTGATCCTTTCACACTTAGAATCTACACATGGGAGGCATTTCACAACACCCACACTGTGCTCCTCCCGCTCTGCCACGCCTCTTTTCAAGCATTTTAGTGTTTTTTGACAAATTAACTTGTTTAAAAAAATGTGAGAAAAATTGAAAAAGTGATTCTTATGATGGTAGTTACTTTGTCACTTACGGATTCATTCGATTATGGTGTAGGCATTCGTGGGATACTTCAACATGGAATATCTTCTTGTGTTGAAGCGCATTAGTGCAACTCTACATATGAGACCACAGCCGCCACGCTAACCTTCCGCATCACAAGCATTTGGAGTAATTCACCTATTCTAAGAATGAGAACGAGGCGAAGCGTGTGTAGAAGAAAGCCACCGCTTAACGCGTAGCGGATGGGGATCCGAAATCGGTGTCGATTTTCTCCGGACGACCAAGCCATTTCATTCCTTGAGGGTCGATAAATTGGTAATAAACTTGTGTTCGAGGAAAAACGGAGATCAGATTCCCCCACTCCATTCAATGGATAGGCTGAGCTGCCTTCAAAGTGCCACTATGGTTCTTGAAGGAAATAGAGTGCGCTGCTCATCCCAAGAAAGGACTGATCAATCGTGAAAGCCTCATCCTTGATTCTTCTGTTGTACCGACGCGACCGGCGTTTAATTCGGTATCCAAATGAGGTAAAGAGTCTCAAAGAAGATATCGCCGCAATCAGTTGAGGCAGTTTCAATAGAGATGGAATAAGCCCATCTCTTCCACCACTGATTGTTTTATTCCTAAATCAATCAATCTCCATTGGTGGAGCGAGGTCGCCGAAGAGGGGCTCCTTTCGTAGTCAGAGCACATCACTGTTGGAGATTACTCAACAGGTGAGGTCGTATTTGGTTGCTGGAGGGGTGGGGGGGGAGGTTGCTGGTATTTCGTTCGAGAAAACTCTTTTGATAATTGATTTTTGTAGTTTAATAGACGCTCAAGGGGGGGGGGGGGTGTCGTCGTGTTGCAATGAGATGTTGTGTACATGGGGAAGAGAGAAGGGGCTGTGTTTGCCTTCTAAGGGAAATTTGTAGCGTTGGGAAGAATTTTCCCTTCCCTGTGCGGCGGCTAAATTTTGAGGAAAAACGTGGGAGGTTTTCGGATAATTTTTGGGAAAAACCCAACCCAAGAACACGCTCGTGCGCAATTGGGGAAATTTGATTGTCAGACGATGGTAGGTAAGATGGGGATGCGGGATCGTACTTTTCTCGTAGTTTTTTTTTTCGTTTCGCACGTGCTTTATACCCTCCCCCCCTTGACCGTATCAGGAAGCAGGGCATCAATCGTTGTTGGGGAGGGAAATCGGAGAAAGGTCGTAGAGCCACCCTCAAGGGGGGGGGGAGTGGGTTCGCACGGACCGAGCTAGCGGTGTGTCCTGTCCGTCGTTCTTGACACCGATCCGATAGATTGTGACGTTATCAACTACATAATATCTTTGTGTAATAAGTTAAATATATGGGTGCAAGCTGGGAAAAGTGCTAAGGCTCATGGTTCTCGATAACCGTGCGGCTCCTTTCTTATTGCAACCTGAGCATTTTTGTTTAGCCAGCTGTGAGCACTGTGCCTTTCAAGGTTCATGGGAGGAACGGCTTGTTTACTACCTGTCTAGTCGCTGAGACAAATAAACATTCCCACATGAAAACAAATCATATTCATCCTGTAATTAAATTGTTCCACCCGAAAGTCACGAATGGCACAATAATACTAGCAGCTCGGGCATGACTTTTCATTATGTCTGCTCTCACTTTTCACAAGAATTGCGAAGCTTTTGCAATGGTACGATGCACCCTGGAAAACACAATACGAAAGACTGTACGTTATGCGAAAACTTTTCCAGTTCTTGCAGTACTGAAATAAGGTAAAGGATAAATAAAGGATAAAGTCTTCGCCGTTAATCAATCCCTTTGTGGGATGCGGCACGCATTCTACTTCCATTCAGAATCGTAGTGGCTTATTGAATGCGATGTGGCCTATACAATGACTTGCGGGGGCCAGCCGATGTACAAGTCAGTGTTTTATCCTCCCAGACGAATCTGGTACCAATTTACCGTCCCGAGGGTAGAAGGCTTGGTTGGCCTGGGCGGGAGTCGACCCGGGATTCGAACCCGGGACCGCGCGAGTGGTAAGTGCGCCATCATGGCGGGCATGAGCCCTCATGTGCCACGCGGTGTTCTACACAGTTTCGTGGGGCTCACTTGAGAAGTAGCTCATACTCTTAGTATGTTACACAATTACCCTAAAGTTCCGTAAATGAGTCCGCCATTAGATAAGTCCGGGCGAAATCGGATCGCCGCGCGCGAATACTGAATATTGGAATCAACTGGTATATTCAGAAACGTGGACTTGAAAGGAGCATCATAGGATATAGGACCATAAAAAAGAAACAGTAGAGGTCGGAACATGTCGAACTACCCTTGAACTCAACTTTCAGCCAAATCTGCCCCGTAGAAAAAAGTTGATCAAGATCCGGTCCATTTTCGGAAAATTGGGGTAGTAATAGTTGAACAGTGCCGATTCACCTGTTAACAGGTCGAAATTGAAAAAAAGTAGAATAAAAGCGGAATGTGCTGCAGGGCTCGATCATTCCTTGCGACACTTTAGACCGCAAAAAGGAATCTGCTAAAATCTGAATATCTCTGTCGGAGTCAAGCACGACTTCTGCTCCCAACACTACTTTGGAACCCCTCTACGAAGTTCCTTCTAAGGAACCTTGAAGTGAAGAAGAGACTTCCCTCCTTGTTGCTCGCATGGTCATGTCTCGTGAAGGTGCCCTTTCCAAATCAATTTCTCTGAAAATTACAATTGATTTGGACCACATTGCCCAACGAAGTGTTCGCGCGCGCGGCGATCGCGATGTCGCGCGCGCATATCGAAGGCGACTTCGCGATCGCGTCGCTAGTGGTAGCGGTTGTGTAGCGCGACTGATTCGATCGCGCTCCAATGCAAAAATCAACTGGACGGATGCTAATTTACAGCCATTTTCGGTTACTTTTTGCTTCTTTCTCCTCCCGCTTGCTTCTCGCTTGTTTCTTCCTCCTCCTGGAATTATCTATTTTCAAATCTGTTCCCGATATTGTTTTTTCACTCTTATCGCTTCTTGACCCTTAACATAGTGAAACTTTTTCAGGATGTTAACATCGAAAATATTCTTGGGCATGGACGGCCGGTTCTGCCGCGCACAAACCTATTTCTTGCTTTCGAGGAACCAATGTGTTTTTCAGCGGCTCGCCTGCAAGTTATCTTTCTCGATTCGCCAGCAAATCATCATTTTGCCTTAGTTGGTCGGCAGTTCAGACCTTCAACCTGCCACGGCAATCATGTTCTCATTTGTCTCCGTATTTCCCTAATTGCTGTGATGTATTTGGTTTATGTTTTTAGGTTTACTTTATCTCTTACAGGTCTCTATACAATTAGAAATAGTGGATCGAAAGGAAACTACTTGTCGTACAGGTGAAGGTTTCTACTGATCTGCTGAATTACCGACAAAGCTAAACACAATATGATTGATGAGGATCAAAACGGTAATCAAAACCGGCAGGGCAACTGAAAAATCCACTCGAAACACAAGAAAGCTAACGCGTAGAACGGCATCATTCAAAAATATCCAATGGCAGCCTGAAAACTTTGCAAAGTAAAACGCATATAACTTGACAAACGAATACGAAATCAGTTATTAGAAATTACATACGTTGCGGCTGATGTCAGCGAAGTAACAATCGTGAAGCAACTCGGCCGAGGAGACAACGACAGCAAAAAGTGACCGAAATTGGCTGTAGAATTAGCATTCCGTAGCCTTGGTTTTTGAATTGGACGCCGATCGAACCGGGTCCGGCACCTACAAGCCTGGTTGCCCTACGATCGGTGCGATTCGCCGAAGTCTGACCGTGCCCCAAAGCGGAATTTCCGCTGGAACTTCCGCCAGATACTTGAGTCTGGTATCTGATTGGTTGAGTCGTTCATATGAGCCGCTTTGGAGTATACAGTTTCTTCCGAGTAGCGGCTACCATCATCTATCTGTTATGCTGGAAAGAAAATCCTGCAACACTTCAAAAGATTGCTCATCTCCTCGGGGGCATGGTTATGCAACATTGTGCAAGCCTGAAAACCCCAGTCTGGAACATACATTCATTACGCGGTTATACCCTCAGTTTTCTTGGAAAGGTAGTTTGTAGTGGATAAGCGTAAGCCGTCAATAATCTTGAATGGCGGACATTCAAAGAGCAAAATCCCTCCATCTTGACAGTTGCCAGTTCTAACGAACATCTTAAGAGGCACAATGTCAGCTGATACAAATTAACACTTAAATAGGGCTGCCCTATTCGTCTTACAAGTCCCTCATCATTGCAGACGCGTGGGCGGTGTTGAGGCGCGCGCGCGTGTGACTCGGCTGTGAGACAGTCGCGTCACAGCCGCAGTACACACGCCGCCGACCTCCACCGGTCTGCAATGATGACCACCATACATATTCGAACGAATTTCCACAGATACCTCAACGACACTCTTCTGAACTCACTATAAACATTATTGCTCCAGCGATGATGTCTTCAGAACGATCCAGATGGGCGACGACAGACATCAAGTAGTAGTAGCTGAAGCTGTATTTCAATTCTTACTATTCGATATTCGAGTGGTTTAACGACTGGAATCCTTCCCGTTCGTCACTTCCCGCCCTGTCGCTAAGCTGTGCACGGACAAAATGAAGAATAGTGAACTTGTGAAGGAGAACAACTTTGTGGACCACAGTGATTCAAGCTAGGATCACGCTTGCTCAGTGGGAAATTAACTACATCAGAATTTACTGGACTTACCCAAAAGTGCCCCCACAAATCCTATCCGCAGCCTCATCGTGGCGTGGGGGTGAACGGTAGAACGGTTTTGGACTGTTCCAAAAACGTACCAATGCGGAGGGTGCCACGTCAGAGCCTGGCGAGCTACGCGTGGTTAATTTTCTTCTCGCCGAAAACAGTAACAACTATGGGCCTCATTCCCCTGAGCTGAGGGAACTACCGACAGGGCGACGTCGGCTCTGGGGACGGCATCGGACGAGGCTGCTAAAATCACAGGGCCAACGGAGTTTTGAGTCGCCCAGGACTAGGATGACGATCTGTACTTTCAACGCACGGACGCTTGCATCGGAAGCTCACATCGAAGATCTGATGTTGCAAGCCAGGAAGATCAAGTACGACGTCATCGGACTGACCGAAAGACGAGGAGGCATCGCCGCTTACACGCCGGCTAAATTCGTACGAGACTGGAGAAGAACTGTTCCTCGGAACATGCGACAGCAGAGGCGTTGGCGGTGTGGGCGTCCTCGTCAACACGCACTTGGCCATGAACATCGATTCGTACGAAAGTCTGACGACCCGAATCGGACGTTTGAGAAGATGTGGTTCAACTCCAGCTTTGACAATCTTCGTCGCCTACGCACCAACATCAAGCTACGACGAGGATGAGCTCGAAGCGTTCTATATGGAATTGGAGAAGTTCTACAAGGAAGATCATACCTTCTTCAAGGTCATCGTCGGTGATTTCAACGCTAAGATCGGACCAAGAAGAACGGCTGAAGAACTTCACATCGGAACTCACGGAACGGAGTGGAATGAGCAGGGTGAAAGGCTGTCTGAGTTTATCATGTCGACCCACACCATCCATGGTAACTCGCAGTTCCAGAAGCCCTACTCTCTACGCTGGACATGGGAGTCTCCTGGTGGACAATTCCATAACGAGATCGACCACATCATCTGCAATCGAAGGTTTTGCCTGACCGATGTCGCTGTTGTCCCTAAGTTCTACACGGGATCCGACCATCGTCCTTCGCGCAAGATTCCGCTTTTCGATGCGAGGAGAGAGAGCCGCAAAGTTCAAGAAGCGAAGCCCCAAGACCACCATCAACTGGGATCACTTCACTTCTCTCGCTAGGCTCTGGGAGGATTCTGTCATTGACAACATCGACGAGGAATACGAACGGCTTGTTGCACATCTTCACGACTGCGCCAAGAAGTCAGAGGGTTCCAAGATTACCAAGAAGCGTCTATCTCTGGAAACTCTCGAGCTGATTCGCCAACGTGGAGCCGCACGAGCCGCAGGCAATTACCAGCTGACGTCTGAGCTTGCGAAGCTATGCAGAGAAGCGATAAAGGAAGACCTCAAGGAGAGAGAGCAGTACTGGTGGAAGCCGCAGAGGCTGGGAAGAGCGTACGCAAACGCCCGCGACTTCGCCAACTGTAAGACTAAGATGACCGCCCTCCGACGTCCGGATGGAACGATCACGATCCAGAAGAGGCACATGGCAGAAGGTCATCACGACTTCTATGGCATTCTTTGACAGCACAGTCCCTGACAACCATAACCGCTTGGGAGCAGGATGGCTATGTCAGTTCTGGCTCGTTCTCCTTCCGAAAGTCCGACACGCCATCTCGTCGGTGAAGAATCGTACGGCACCCGGTCCCGACAGGATCAGACCCGAACATCTGAAGAATCTTCCGCCAGTTCTCGTCAAAACTCTGGCTCGACTCTTCACGCGCTACCTGTCGGAATGCAAGGTACCCACCTCGTGGAAAACCAGCAAGACTGTGTTGCTGTACAAGAAGGGAGACCTGTACGACATTGGCAATTATCGCCCAATCTGCCTGCTGTCTGTAGTCTACAAACTCTTCACACGAGTCATCCTGAATAGGATTGGCAGAACACTAGACGAAGGACAGCCATGCGAGCAAGCAGGGTTTCGAAGAGGATTCAGCACGATCGATCACATCCACACGGTAACGAAGCTCATTGAAGTATCGCGAGAGTACAAGATGCCGTTATGTCTCACGTTTATCGACTTGAAGAAAGCCTTCGACTCCGTTGAGACAGAAGCGGTTATCGAAGCCCTGGGCAACCAGGGTATTCCTACTCAGTACATCAGGATTCTTCGTGGAGCTACTACAAGACAAACTTCACGACCAAGATCTCACCATTCTACAAGGAGATCATCATCGATGTGAAGAGAGGGGTCCGACAGGGCGACACCATCTCGCCCAAGCTCTTCAGCGCCTCTCTCGAGAACGTCATGCGTCAACTGGAATGGGAAGACATGGGAGTGAAGATCGACGGTCGGCAACTACACCATCTCCGCTTTGCTGACGACATCGTTTTGATAACGCCAAACATCGAGCAAGCGGAACGAATGCTGGCTGAATTCGACTGCGCGTGTGGAAGAATCGGTCTACGGCTGAACCTAACGAAGACGATGTTTATGAGGAACGGATTGGTATCTGATGCCCCATTCACGCTCAACGGAACGACCATCTCTGAATGCTCTAGCTATGTGTACCTAGCGTCTGTGAAATCAATATGATGAATGACCTAGCTCCAGAGCTGAGCAGGAGGAAGCGAGCGGCTTGGGGAGCCTTCAAGAACATCGAGGGAGTAGCGAAGAAGACGAAGAACACCAAGCTCCGTGCCCACCTCTTCGATTCCGCGGTCCTTCCTGCCTTGACGTACGCCTCAGAGACTTGGACTCTACGAAAGCAGGATGAACATGCGGTCGGTGTTATTCAACGCGCCATCGAAAGGGCGATGCTCGGAGTTTCCCGCTACACGCAAGTGAGAGAGGGAATCCGGAGCTCCGCACTCCGCCAACGATCGAAGATCAGAGACGCCGCCGCATTTGCCAAGGTTTCGAAGATCAGGTGGGCCGGACACGTCATGCGTTTCGAGGACGACCGCTGGACCAGAGCAGTCACCGACTGGATTCCACGGGATGTCAAGCGAACGCCTGGAGACCGCCTACGCGATGGTCAGATTTTCCGTGAAAAAGCTCTGAACGAATGGTATGAAGTTCATCGTGTCCCTCGAGCTGAGAGAGTTCATTGGGCAACTCTTGCACGTTGCAGGGACGAATGGAGACGTTACTGGCGCCCGCTCGAGGAACTCGATGATCAACGGGAGCACAGGTGATACACAGGTGTACCCAGAAGGTGGATGAGTTATTTTTCTAGCCCACTCAAAATATTCGCACATAAAGACAGAAATGTTTTGCATTGAAATTTCTACAATTTACAGAGAACTTCTTGCCCTATACGACCATGTTCTGAATAGTCTTAAGGTTCCTCTTTTCACGAATATTTGAATGCTCAAACTGGAGTGTCACTTGTGACGAATAGGCAGCTTTTTTGAAAGCCTCCTTTTTTTAATCTCTAATTAAAAGCTAGGCGCATTGTACTCACTTGCTATGCATAGGATCAGAGTGACCTCTGTCTTTCAGCTGAATGTTCTGAAAAGTATTATGTGCGCCATCGAAGGTTCAATTTTGACCTCAGAGACAAAAAATCGACCTGAATTATCCATATTGATTCCACTGCGAGCTTACTTGAATCACCTTGGATCATGGCAAGATTTATGCTGTTTTGATGATGGGGGAATTTCGCAGAGGTGCACGGAAACAGCTTACCTTACCGTAATCAAGCGAAATTTCACTTGATGGTCAGATGTTTGAATTTAGCGGGATAGGTTTTGCAGGCCAGTCGCTCCTCAAGAGAACCCCCTACGCTGTGCTCTTTCACAAAGTCCGAATTCCCATTTCTTGGATAGCTTGGACCAACTTCGAGCTGTCATAGGACTTGGTCATATATATCACAAGTTTTGAGCTCCTTGCTGTAATTTGAGAGCCGAGATAAAGTGCAAAAAGTTGTTGTCGAAAACTCACTTTTGTGTCGACCCGACACTCCATTTCAATGAAATAAAAATCGATAGAAACCAGGAAACGGTAGGAAGACAAACACTAGTCTCATAGAGCAGACAAACAGTGTAGAACGCGTTGGGAACAATTATCGTTTTCCATGAGAAAAATTGTGTGAGAAAAAACGCCATTACTTGTGGCCAATCCAATATTCAATGCGCAATTCAGTTACCCTAACAGAAAGAAAACATGGAATATATTCGCTAAAGATAGCGTATAAACGCCGCTCATGAGCAGAAACATAATGAGAAGTTTATGCCTTACTGGTAGAAAACGCAGCATCGGCTGCACTGATTTTACGCCTCTTGACGCCCTCCCGCCGAAAAGACGATGTCACTTACAGACTTCACGGTGTAAGCTCTCGATCACACAGAAGATGTTAACAGTGCCAAGGTCTAGATGAGTAGAGGAAATGGAGAGTTGCGGGCTGGGAGAC